AAGAAGAGTTTTATGGGACAGCTGCATGCCCTGTAGGACTGATGTGCTCTATGCTTTAGGGCAGGCTCTATTTACAAACCGACAGGCAGTTTAGGTAGGTGCGGCCAGGCCCACAGGACCAATAAGGCTTGTATTCAGAAGGCAGTGCTGCAGTCGCTAGTGCTGATTCTTGGCCCCTCTTCCAAGAGAGAACAAGGCCAAACAGTGGGGAAGGGCTTTTAACTCCCGTCGTACAGTGTATGTAGAGAGGAGGCGGCCACGTGCGCCCCTGGGCGCTACCCCGCTGGTAGCAGTGCCTTTCAACTGTGGCTGTACACAATCTATGACAGGGTGTCGGTTCGTTCGGATTGGTGTGGCCGAAGGCGCGGGTTGCGGCGGGGAGGCGGAAGGTAGACGACGGAGAGCTAACATACGTTGATCACTAGTAGATTTTGAAATTCCAAGCCTAAGAAATGCAAAGTATTGATTGCTAGTCTAGAGAAGCTTGTTTAAATTATCCAGCCCAATGCCTAGTTCCTTTGCTTGTATGAAACTGCTTCAGCAACTATATAAAAGGCCCTGCCCATAAACCAGCCAGAAGAGATTGGAATAACGACGGAAACCACCGCCAAGGAAACCGCGATCGCCGTCGTAATCATTCCGTCGCGATTAAATACAAAAAAGCAAGCACTAGAAGTCCTCAACAACAAGTGGTTTTTCCCGGCTACCTGCAGCTTTTAGTCGGGCAAGTCGATTCGGGTTTTTATACCTCCTCTTGAAAATGGCTAAAACCGTACTAGGTGGTTCTTTCTTCCAAATCCTTCCGGTACGGTTTTTTTTGGAAGCGGCGGAAGTAACACGACTGCGTACAGGTCGCGATACCTTCTGAGGCGGAATCTGATTGCTTCCCAACCCTTCATCCGGACCGCTGCTGACTTCTGCCTCTGGCAGAGGCCCGACGCCCAGGCTTGCGCGGGGAGACGAAATGGCCCGAAAAGGGGACATGCTGGGACTTTGAGGACTCTGTCGCGGGGTAAGCAAAGCTTGTCCCGGGGGCATTCCAGCTCCAGTGCCGTCCCAGTTGATGAGAGGATCTTCAAGAGTGATGTGGCTATCCTCGTGATCAGGTGATTTGATGTCGGAAATGGTTGACCGATCAAAGTAGTCGTCATAGTTGAGCTCGCTGTCGTCGGGGGGGTCGTCGGACTCCGACGAAAGGTAGTTGAAGAGTTTTTGGTCGAAATCTTGGCAGAAAGTGCTTGGGAGCTCGAGACCCATTGTGGGCATGGAAGGTCGGCCAGACTTATCATGGTGGCCTGACATGAGCGTCGCTTCCGAAAATTCCCCGTGCTCCCATGGAGGCTTTGCAAACCCGACGACCCCGTCGAGATCAAAAAGCCGGTCAGAATGTTTGAGGTTGCCGCTGCAGAAGCTGGAGTTGTCGTGCGCTAAGGGAATCTGGAAACCGAAAAACGGGTCGCCGCTGTAAAGGTATGCTTGAGGCTCCATGTTGTGGCTGCGCTTGTATTGTTCTGGCTTTGCTGACAGGGACAGAGTGAGGAGGAAAAGTGAGGAGGAAGAGTGAGAAGAGGAAAAGGTTGAAAGGGGGCCCTGGGGCCCGTGGACCCCTTTATATAAACGCTCTACGCCACGGCAAGGAGCAGTCCGCTACAACCAGCCAGGGAAAACGGACCCCTAGTTACTCCGCCGCCTGCCAGGCACGTGTTTCGAGGAGCAATGGCGACGGGAGCGAATGCATGGTCACGAGGACGGACCTGGGAACAGCGGGAGGAGCAGTGGCGTCAACTTGTCTCGCAGCTAGGACGGATCTAAAAAGTCTCAGGGTTTTTACGCCGGCTAAGATATCGACGGTCTCAGGTTCCACTACATTTTGGTATGCGGCAGCACGACCGGCTACGTCGTCGCTTCGCGCCTGACCAAGGAATAGGAGGAATAACAAGGTTATTGCCGACGCTGCTGGTGCTCGAGGCGAATCGGGTACGCGACGCGTGGATATCGCGGGTCCCCTTGTCCTCCCAGAGCTCCTTCCTGCGCGTCATAAAGGCCGTATTGACGGGCCTGTCGCCTAAATTTTTCGGCCTGGGGCAAACGTATACGCCTGTGGAACGCCGTCGGCGGTACCTCGCGCCTTAAAGCCGCCTCTAAAGGGCTTCCGTGCTGCCTACAACGACCAGGCCGGGAGCCTGGAGCTGCGAAACTAGTCCTGGGAATGCGTCAGGCCCTTTATGTTCTCGCAGACGGCATTCCCAGCGTGCTGCAGACAGCTTCACAGCTCCCCAGCTCCCTCGACGTCGCCATCCACGCGGTCCTACAGCTCGAGGATGACCGCTCTTCAACGCGGGCCACGGGGCCGTGTTCATGTGCGACAGCCTCAACGAGCTCGAGGCCTCGGTCATGATCTCACTGGGGCGCGCCAATCGCGGCGTCGGCGCTGCCGGCCTGCGCCGCGTGCGCAACCCCACCCTGCTCGCCCGCGCCATGCTAAACCTCGGCGGCTCATCTAGCCCCTCCTCTGCCAGTCCCCTTTGTGACAGCCATCTCAGCATCCCCTCGACGCAGAGCAACACGCTCCTGCACGGCCCCGCCGAGCAGCTGGCGGCGCAATACGGCCTAGCCCTCGTCGAGCCCTCGTACTCCTTCACGCAGAGGCGGTGGGACGAGCACGTCACGGCGCTAGAGCCGAGAAGGCGTCCGGCGGCCGAGCCCGCGACCTGGTCAGCGACCGAGTACCCGCCGCAGGGCACAGTGAGTGTTATGGCATAGCGCTGTGGCTTAACGCCATGGCCATTATAGCCCTCCAATTCAGAACAAGTGCCAACTTGTTTTTGTTGTCCGTTTGGTTTAGGAGGGGAAGGCTTTCCTTTGCCGAACCGTGACAGCGGGCGCCGTGACGTTCGACTCGGACGGCATGTTACGGCGCGGCGTGCCCTCCGTGCATTTGCAGCCTTGTCTCTCGTGTGCGTTGGGTGTATCGCAATCAGAACAGCGTTCTGATTGTCCTGGCTTTTTAGCAGAGATGGGAGGGGTCTCACTTTGTCTAACCGCCTTGACACGGCATGCTATGCGCGCCACCAGCACCGGCGGCCTGACCAACAAGCTGACGGGCCGCATCGGCGACACGCCCGTGCCGGAGCCGGGTTTCAGGCTGAGGAGTGGGAGGAGCGCGGCGATAGATTGACTGATGCCAAAGCCTCAGTCAAGACTACCTGCAAAGGAGGTTTTGCAGTCTTCTTAACATGCCTGTTGTCCCTTGAGGTCATATGTATAGGTTATGGTTATCGGCCAGTTATGGTCATCGGCCATGGTTATGGGTATCCACCCGCCCCTACAGGCCACAGGCCCCCCTCCTGGAATGCCTTTACCGGCCAAAAGACAAGCATTCGTGCTCCTACCTTTGGTGTCCTAGCGCTCGGGACTTGGACACAGGCCCTTTGTTACGGCCAGTAGGGCCACGACGGATAAAGCGCCGCGACGGGCACCACCCAGAGTGGTCACGTGATCATAAGTTACGCGACCAGGGCCCGGGCAGGCGCTGCACTAGATAGATCGTCTGACGGGACCGACCTCCGGCCCACAGACCTGTTTGTAAGATATCTTCGCATACTACTGTTTATCGACGGATCTGGAATTGTCAGTGGCTGCCTTTTGGATCACGTGCACGTGGCTGGGTCCCCCTTAGGCCGGCTATGAAATCGTTGTTCATATCTACGGCGTACTGCAATGCTGTGGCAAAACGCGTTCGCTACTATAAGTTAATGGAAAACGCCAGACGGTTCCAATAGCACAAATCTATAAAAGTGCGCGGCCCCCTACGACCCGGGAACGGGCAAAGAGAAAAGAAAAAAGAGGATTAAACCCAAGGAAAATTTTCTCTAAGAGGCTCCTGACCACTGGAAGAACAACACCCTCCCAGATGAACAGCCTAAGGCTATTGTCAATCCTGCTATGGCTGTACATTGCCCACGGTATTCAGTAGGCAGCCACAAAAAATGCTTCCCTTTCCACGTAATCCATGCTCGATCAACACTAATGCCAATACCTTCAAAATCTTGATGTTGTGAATGAGCTTGAACCGCTGCTGTGCCAGCAGCCGATTGCTTGTGTAGCAATTTAGTCCCAAAATCTGTCTGGAGGCACGAGCCTATCTCATCAAATGATAAAGTGGAAGTGAACCCCTCGAGCGTCGTCAGGCACGCGCCCGTCGCCGCGTCCCAAA